TAGTAGGTAACAGTGTTTGCATGATGGTTTGCCTGTTGACCTACTACAATGGTAACTGGAAAGTGTTGTGTTAAGAGCCGCCAAGGAGATTGTAGCTCATGACATTTATCTGAGAGGTCGACCCTTGAATTGGGAAAAAAAGGTACAAGACCCTGAGGCCATCCGATCACGGGCTCCCCTATGGGAATACAAGAACTTCCATTTGGTTAGGCTCCAGGGAAAAAATACAAAAACATATGTCCAGTAATGAGTGATGAATTCCTTTTAAAACCAACAAGGGAAATTGAAGATATATTCTTCAGCAAATCCCTAGGCTTGAGTTTGTTCCCGGGCCACACGTAATCCGGAGCCTCCGGCGGTCCATTCGATTCATGCAGGAAGAAAGGTGTCAATTCTACCCTAAGCATGCTGCGGCTTAGGGAGGACCCAGCGTTTCCCGCAATTACCAACACCCCAACCCGCTTTTGAGGTCTCAACAGAACTTGTTTGGAGGGCCCAAAATCCATCACGCCCGTCAGGGTAGAAACAAAGCACGGTTTGATCTTCACATTTAAATCGACTGGTCCGATGCTTTGAGCGAATAAAACTGCACTCTCCTCCAGACATTGTCTCAAAGAAGGAATCCAGCCAGGAAAATCTAAACGAATGTCTCAAAAAGAGGGGAACCCCTAAGATGGTTGGCTTCATGTTGGTCCCTTCAAAGCAACACCAAAATGGGCACCCTCAAAACAGGCACACTTGGGTGTGTCACTCGTCAACTTCTACTCTGCCTCTCCCCCTTTGGCCCCCACTCGCTTCTGCAAAGCAGAGGTGGTCCGACTCAGGTCATAGACCTCCTTTGACCTGGGTCTCAAAAAGGCCACGGGAAGAACGTTGGGGGAAGAACATTGGATAGGGAAAACCACCGGGGTTTGTCTCACAGGGCTTTGCATTTCAACCATTCCCGTGGGTGTCCCTAACCAACCCCCAAAAGGGCGCCAAACCCCGGGGAGAAAAAGGGGCGAAAAATCATCCAGGACCCAAGACCAATGGTCTGCCTGGTTTGGACACCTTCCTTCGGTAACCGATTTGGCACATTAAAAGGATGGAGAGTCCAAAAGGAACAGCTCATGGCTTCCTGCCCGCCTTGAGGCTTTTGGGGGCCCGAGGTTTTGTACATGCCGCACCTGCCTTCTCTCTCACAGCCTCCAAGCTCAGAAACCCCTGGCAATCGGTAGAGGGATGCCAAGGCCAATCCATGGTTCTACCCGAAGATGGGGGTGGGTCAAAAATAGGTGTTTCAAATGGCACCCTAGTAAATGGAAACAAAGACTACTACATCGAATCACCCCCAAAGAAAGCTGACTTGACATGGGTGAAACAGATCCGGTAGCGACCTAGCTGTATCTTCAAGCACCCCACTACGTCACTCTAAGGGCTACCGATTCATTGCCAAGGCAAAAAGATGCGCAAAGGCCCGTTCAAAACGGGACTTAAAACGCGCAAACCTATCTTGCCAGCCTTTTGCAGAATGGCTGGGCCTGGTTTTTGCGGGACATGTAGGGCTCGTTCCCCCAAGCCTCTCCAGTTGGGTGTGTTGTTAGGGTGGAAGCCGCCATCTTCGGCGGGACGAGCCACCCAGATGGACCATGGGTCTTCGATTCGCCAAGTCAGTGGCTAGTAACCCAAGCTACAGCCCCATAACTTTAAACTACAGCCAAGCTTCGCTTGTCTGCTTATAACTCCCCATCGGAGTGAACCTTCCATTTAAGACCCCTGGAAAAAATATTCAAAAACAATATATATATATATATGCTATATATGTCCAGTAGTGATAAATTGTCCGATTAAAACCAACAAGGGAAAAACAAAATTGTTTCAGCAATTGGAAGTAACAACTTGTTAGCGGGTTACAACCCAGGGGGCCTTTTCTGCTTGCCAGGACTTGGCTGGCAACATGAAAAAGTATGGACCCAAAGAACCCAGTTAGTCCAGGTCCTCCAGTGGAGGGCTTAGAATAAGGGTACCCGATTTTTTTTTCTGTGGTCTAGTTTAGTAGACTACACCCCTCCCCAAAAAACAGAAACGGTAAAAGAAACGGCACCCTTTCGCTGGGGGACCTAGTAAACCCAATGAACAGATTGAACCCGCTGTGCTGCATCTGACCACAGGTGTCCAGGGGAAATAGATGTCCCTGGTAGAGGAAACCACCTGGGCTTTTCCAGGAGTCGCCATCTACTCTTCGAGCAAAACAACCAACAAGGACACCTATGCATCTGACATGCTCCGAAAACGGGGAAGAAAAAAAACATGAGAAACAACTCTGGCGTGGCTGGGCTGGGGCTCCAGGCATGTCCTCCTGGTGTTGCTTCACCTTTTGGACCTGCGTGGGGCGTCAAAGCGACTGGCCCGCAGTACTCTACCGGTATCGCAGTCCGCCCCAAGTGAGACACCCTCAAGCAGGCCTTGTTAAGGGGTTCGTAAAGGAGATATCCCCATGGCCCCTCCTTTTGGGGGTCCATGACAATACTGTGGTGGACGAAACCCATTTCGCACCACCCAAGAAGCCCTGCAATGACTCGATTTCCCTGCAAATACCAACAAACAATGGTTTCAACCATGGTTTCAAGGTGGGTGCAAAATGGATTTCGTCCATCCACAGTATGTTGAAGGGAAACCACCGATTCCAGTTTCTGACTGAGACAACCCCCAGACATGGTCGAACAACTTTGACCCCAGCGAGGGTACCTGCTTGCTCGGTACGGTTGGTTTGAAGGGGGTTCGTTTTAAGGGATTTGCTTGAGGGCCCATGTCCACTTAAAGCGAGGTTTGTCAAGAACTTCCAGTCCTGGAACCAATTGAGTGGTATTTTGGCCTACAAGGGATACCTTTTGCAGGGCTATGCCTTTTTGATAGATACCTCCCGGAGGGAACCCGCCAAGGGGGGGGGCTTTTTGCCGGGGGATGGCGGCGGAAACTGGGCTGCCCTCAGATCCCCCGCTGTTCGCAGGCCCCCAGCCCTGGATGCCCCTTCATTTTTTGCGCGCGACGGCACGCCATTCATGACGACGCCTAAGAGCCTCTTTGGACTTGCGCGAACGAGCCCGTTCGGGCCTTCACGCGCGGCGACTCTAAAATCAAAGGCTATGCAGCGCCCCGAGTTCGTGCGTCGGACTAAGAATTGCTGCCAGCCCTTCATGGAAGGTATTCCGCTCGCGCAGCAAATCGCGAGAAGAGGATCGCCACGGTTTCAACTCTGGTCAAAGAGCAATTTTCCAAGCAGCTTACAGTTTTCTCTCCCCCCCACCGCTTTTCTTTCTTGTACATTTGGATTCGTCTCGTGCACACTGTGAATCGGACCCTCAAAAAATGGTGGTTGGCCGTTTTATTTTGCTCTACATCCCAAAGTGAGGCGTCTTCGCCCTTCGCCCCAAGAAAAAGACCCACTTCGACACGTCGTTTTTCCGAGTTGAAGCCTTGAAACCCGTCACTCGGAAGCTTCCGAGGACGACAGCAACGCCTCTGGATCCGCGAGCTCCGGTCGCCGCTTTTTGGAGATCTGCGCCAGGCCAGTTGCCAGCAGCACGAAACAAATCACCATGCTGACTGCTGGGACCACGTGCCCGCCTCCTGGAAACAGGAAGCAAAACGCCCAAGGAGAAAATTCGGAGGCCGGAAAAAACCGTGGAGAAGGCAGTTGGGATGAATGAAAGGCGCCGTAAAGAAAAAAAACAAAGAATAAACCATCCACAGTACCACGGTTTGTTGGACAGGCTTGTTACATGTTTCTTTCAGGGAAGCCTCTGTCTGGGGTAATTGCATTGCACAAAGAGGAATATGCTCTAATGATGTTTCATACTTATTCTTGCCCTAAAGCAACAAAAAGTGTTGAAGACCCCAGAAAAATATCCTTGGAAGCATGTCAGAATGTTTCGCGCATGGCCTCTATGGGATATGTTACTTGAAGGAGAAAACCAAGAAACAGGGCCAATTCTAGATCCTTGACCTTCAAACAGGCAACACCACACCGAACACCAAAACAGGGTCCGGCGCCTTTTTTTGCACCTCTCACACCTGCAGGACTTTTGCATAAAATACCCACAAACCAGGAAAATCAGTGAATTGCCTCGAGATTTGCCCTTCCCGACCCACCACCCCACGGACCCCACCATGGACCCCACCACCCCACGACTTTTTGGAGACATCCTCCGAGCCGTCCGGTGCTGAAGGCGGCCATCAGCCACGAGCCCTCTGCCTCCGGCGCCGCCCTCCACGCGCTCCCTGAGAAGGCGCCCAGGGCGTCCCAGTGGAGCCGCGCGAGCTCCGACTCGTTCCAGCGGTTCGGCATGCCGTCGATGCCGCGGTACCAGTCCGGCAGCACGAAGTCCGTGGGGAAGAAGTAATACCTGGGGAGGGGTTCTTGACCAAAATTTAGGAAGACTAGGTGGCATGCAACAAGTTGGGACTGGCTGTTTAAGAAGAAGTAATATCTGGGGGCATAGGTGTCCTTTTTGGGAAAATAGATGGCAGGGCTCTCTATTTTTCGACCGAATCAACCAAGAAAAGGACACCTATGCCAGGGGAGGGTTGGCCCGATGTCTTAAAGGAAGACCAGGTGGCATACAAAAAAAGCTTGGACTGTTTTCTAGGAAGACCGTAGACCCAGGGTACCGGGGGAGACCTGTGGACATAGGTGTTCTTTTTGGGAAAATAGATGGCCCGAACCTTCAGGTAAACCAGGAATTGCCCTCTATCTTTCGACCAAATCAACCAAAAAGGACACCTATGCCCGGTCAAGGGTTCTTGACCCGATTTTTTGGGAAGGCCAGGCGGCATACATTAAAGGTTCGGACTGGATTTTTAGGAAGGGTTCTTGACCTGCTGCGAGGCTTCCTGAACGATTTTTAGTAAAAGAATGGCCCAAGGGGATCCCAAATACAATACCTGGTGAGGGTTCTTGACCCGATTCCCAGCAAACAAAAGGCAACCGAGGGGACCCAAATTTAGATGATGAGAATGTTGAAGGGTAAACTAAACAATGATGTGTCAAAATGGATGTGTCTTAAAGCCGCATGTTCAGTTTCTGCCTCATATTCGTCACCAAGGTGACCCTTTTTGGGGTTGGCTTAAAGGGAAACCATTGGGGGTAACCCTAGTTTGACACATTCCCACCTGAACAGTGATGTGTCAAAGGGAGAGCCCAACACTTCTGGTTTCCCCTTTGATTCCTAGGACGTGCAACGCGGAATGGCAAAGTCCACAAATCTTAGTCTAATATGGTGAAACCAATTGTTCTCTGAACATTACGTGTTTGTCATGCCTGATGGAAAATGCGATTCACTTTTGAAGAGCCATGTGAAATGAAGACAAATGGTATCCTCTTCGACAGTGTCAATCATCAGCCAACCCACGATGTCTGGGGCTGTCAAGCAGTACCTCGGAGTGACCTTTTCCACCTGCAATAGAACTTGCATGCTGGGGATCCTGAAAAAGGAAACCTTTCGAGAGAAGCAGCCTACAGTAAAATCGCCCTGATCCTAGTTGGCACTTTCATTTTCCGTTTACATCTTGGATAGTTCCCTTGGCTACTTTCTTTGGTGGCAACTGGAAGATCCCCCTACCTTGAGGGGGAGGCGGGGGCCAATTCCATTTGTCTACTTGAATATTTGGCCTAGTTAGTAAACTGTCAACAACCCAAGTTATAACCCATCTAGGTCCTCCAGTAGAGAGGTTAGAATAAGGGTACCCTTTTCTGTAGTCTAATTTAGCAGGAAGAAAAGGGTAAAAGGGCACTACTGGGGGTACAAAAACGGTCGACCCAAAACCATGCTTCAAGAACTAAGAAGGCGGCAGCTACATATGGCAAGAGGATCGTCCCTTACTAACCTTCACTTACCCGAATCGGTTTGGAGGACGTGGCTCAAATGGAACTGCAGAAGGAGAACGCCAGGCGTCAGTTTCTGCCCCAACTTTCTCAAGCGGGACATTTATACGAGCAGCGCGTCGGCCTGAAGCAATGGCCCAAATCAACTTCCTGGGCTTCTTGACCCGACTCCCACTAAAAGAATGGTCACCAAGGGGACCCAATTTTGATGATCTGGGCTGCCCGATGTCCGATCCCCCGCTAGGAGTGTTTAACTTTTCGTGGGTTAAAATGGACACTACCACTAAACTCTAGAAGGCTAAAAAGCTAAGGGGATGGCTGGGAGCCGCCAAGCGATGACAATCCTAAGGTAAACGATGGTGTTCTCGTCGAGTTGCTCTGCAGGCAGCGAGTGCTGCCCCAAAGCCTTCTGGTACATCTCGCTCTGCGGATATTTGGGCAACTTCTCCCAGTAGTAGGGGTACCTCGCTCGTCTGCATAGGTGTCCTTTTTGGGAAAGTAGATGGCCCTGGTAGTGGATTGAACCACCAGGTAAACCAGGGCCCTCCATTTTTAGACCTATGGCTACAAGTCTGAATCAATTGACAGCGGCATATGGACACCAAACTGGTTCAAACCATCCTGAAAAGCACAGGCAACAACAGCCAGCACGAGCCAGCAACAGTGATAACAACAGGACAACAACCACGCTCACAAAATACAGCATAAATCTATGATCTAAAACACGGCCGTTAGCAAATGCCAACAACTGTTGCGACCGAACAAAGTGGCCCACCCCAAAAACAGAACCAAACATGGGCAGAAACCAAAACCAACCCCTGTGCACACCCACCCAACTGTTGCAACTGGTTGGATTTGGGTGGGATTTGCACCCAATTGCACCCAACTGCACCCAAAACCAAAACTACAAACCCGCGAACAAAACAAGTCAAGGGACTGCAACTGAATCAACATCCCCGAGCCGCCCTAGCCACCTCAATGACCCACCAAGTCTGTGTCAAAATAGGGGGACACCAAAAAATGCTGTTCCTTTTGGCTTCCCTTTAAACCAAGCCCAAATGGGTACCGCAAAAAGCAACCAAAGTCTTGGTGTACCACTCGCACCGGTGATTTAACGAAACGGCGGGCAATTTGTGGATCGGGCACCAAAAAGCCCACGGACCGTAGGCCAAAGGTAGGGTTGGAGATTCGGCACAACTGACTGGGCTGTGCCCAGACGCCCTAGGGGGGTACCTTCCATTTCCATTCTTTCCAGGGATCCTTCCAGAAAACCTCAAGAAACCCAGGGAAAACCACCGGTTTTTGAAAAGAACGATGGCTGAAAAGAATGGAAAAGGAATCAACCCCTAGAGCCCTGCTCAAGTTTAACTTTTAGTGGATATGGGAACGCCCACTCTTCCAAGACCCCCAAAGGCTTTTACGCCACGCCGACACCGAGCACGCAAAAGGACAACACACACACACAAACATCAAGCCAAACCAACGAAGGAAGAAAAAAAGTCAAGGAACAAACTACACACTGGGCAACTGAGACCTGACCCCTGCACACATGATCACTGGACACCCTTCAAAAGTTGGAGGCCCTTTGGTGCGCTGCCTTCATTTGCCCTTTGAATCCCAGAAGGAGCCTCACATCATGGGGGCTTGGGGTTGTGGAAGCCCTCCGAAAGGTGCAGCCTGATTGAAGATGGTCTGGTGGCTTTGGCAGCAAACTAATGTTGACCCCGGATTAATAAACCCCTGTTTATTCATATGGGGGATGTGTGGTTCCCTGGTTTTAGTGGGGATTTACGACTTTTGGAGGGGGGCACCCCCCCCTTATTAAATAAGTGTATTGTTTTCTATTAGTATTATTATTATTATTAAAAAAAAAAAAAAAAAAAAAAAAAAAAAACGGTGTCAACGTTACTTGGATGTTCGATTCGCCAAATTAGTAAGTGGTCAGCCACGTGGGTTGTAACCCAGTAATAACACGATCAACTCCACTTAGAGGGCTTGTAACCTGGTTACAACTTAATCCAGTAACCACTTAATAACTTGGCCGAACACCCAAGTACCGTCCCCAGTGTTTGCTTGCACTTTCCATGGCTAGTGAACAAACCTCCCGTCTTGGCCCATCATTTGAAGTGCACAGAAGCCAACTTGGATGTTCAACCAACGTCAGGTAAGTAGGTTGTAACCATGGCTATACCTAGGGCAACTGGGGTTGGTCCGCTTACCATGGATATAACCAACCTGACGTCGGACACAAACAAGTACCAATAAATGTGATATCGTCAGGTAGTGGACAAAGAATGTGCCGCTCTCAAGTTTTGTGCAAAGGAAATGGGCTCGCCTTCCCATGTGCCGAACCCCAAACAGACCCAAACGGATAGTTTTGACGCACCTCTGAGCTCGTGTCGAGCGAACTCCTAATTCCTTTTTGGAACCGTTTTGAGCCATAAACTTCAGCCAGCTAAAAGGACTTCCTGCACCCTAACGTTCAACCCCCATCAAAGGAATGGCCCAAGGGGACCCAATTTAGATGAAATCCCGAAAGGTCAACCATGGTAGCGACATGTGAACCGAACCATTGGTTTAATGGCAAACAGCAGGACCCGACTCCGCTGCCCTTGTTTTGCGCTGCTGCCTGTATGTCTGCGTTTTCAAGGGCAGTCTGAAACAGTTCTGGCCAGAAAAAGCAGTCTGTTGTTTTTAATCCCAGGGAACAGGACTTGCTGCACCCCACAGAGTCAGGATTGTGCTGAAAAAGAAATGTCCGTGGGTTTCTGAGATGTGAAGGGGCCATCTGCATGTAAAGCTCTGCTTAAATCGGCATGGTACGTCAGGTAAGTGACTAATAAGCCAGGCTATAATCCACGGAAAGGAGGTAAGTGGTTTGTAACCAGGCTTACTAACCACTTACCTGACCTATGCCCCAAGTGGGTTCTCCATGCGAAAGTTCTTCATCGGAACCCCAAATTCTGCCTATTGGCTTGGATCAGTTTGGAGCTCCTGGCTTTGGGGAGCACCGTCACGATTCCAACTTGGCCAAAGCCCACATGTCCCATGAGTGCATGTGTCTGAAGCTGGTTTGGTTACTCACGGAAAATTCCTCGGGAATTTTGGGCTTCTGACAAAATCTCCCCAAGTGGGGGGCAAACGGGGCCAAGAATTGTCGTGGTTTCGAGTCATGAACATCGGCAAAGAACAAACAAAAACTCCCCCACCCCCCCCCTTTGGCACCCATGGCTCCTACTTGGATGTGCGATTCGCCAAGTTTAGTAAGTGGAAATTGGCCACCTGCGGTATGCACCACAATCAAGGTGAACTTCACTGAACGGCGGACTTAACTTATTAGCGGGTTACAACGTAGGAGAACAACTCACTATGGGCGAATCAAACATCCAAGGCTGTCCGTGTTCAGATCCCCTGCTAAAGGCTTAGCGTAAGGGTGAAATTCGGAAACCCTTTCAACCACTAAACCACCTAAGAAGCACCGCTAAACGTCGTTCTCGGAGCCAGACTTTTTTTTGCTGGGAACCACCCAGGTAGTCAGCATCCTCAAAAAAAACCTTTGCGGCCTCTCTGAGGGCTCTGATCCAAAATGGTTTCCACTACCCCCAAACCACTTCCCCCAAAATTGGGGATAATACGGCCGTATAGTGGCTGTATATCCCAGCAATAGTGGTGGAAACCATCTTAGATAAGTGTCATCACGTAAGCAAGTGGGCGCCAGTGCGTTATAACCTTGCTACCAACTCCTGGTGCTCAGCAGGGAATGAGGGAATTAACCCAGGCTTTGGTCCCCTTAAAGGAAAAACCATCAGTCGGACGGTTCAAATTCCGGGTCCTTCCATTTCTCATTCCCTGCATCTCTCGCACCAGCAAGTTTAGGGTAGACTTCTTGAAAAACTCAGGGGTTCTAATATACTTCCCTGGTTCAAAACCCATCATCTCGTGGTTCATGTTCACATCAAAGGGTACCAGACACCTCCGAAGCCACCTACGGGCTCCGCTTCCCCGCTTCCCCGCTTCGCTTCCCCTCGGAGGCGGAGGCGCTGCGGCACCAGGCGTTGGAAGTTGGCCAGCTGCGTCTGCATGGACTCCAGGCCCGCCCACAGCGCCGCCAAGTAGCCCAGGGCCGCCACCGAGAACCTGAGCGATTGAACACGGCTCGGCTGGGGGCACGACGGTTTTTTTTCCGTGGGAGCGGTTTGCTTTTGGGAAGCTCTGCTTAAAGGGGTGATCGGGTACCTACTAAGCGGTTAGTAAGCCTGGTTCTAACCAGGAAAGGAGTCGTAGCCGCGGTAAGTGGAGGGAATCCCACTGTGGATGGGTACAAAGTCCGGAAATCGCACCGCGAAATGAAACCATGGAGTTGAACCATGATGTTGGTTGGCATGTACGTTGGGAGATCGAATCGTTCCACGGGCTCTCAAGGCTGGTGCGAAACGGACTTCTTCCATCCACAGTAGGGATTTGGGGCGATCTCCGTACGTCAGGTAAGTGGTTGCAATAACCATGGCAACCCACAAAAGCCGTGATTAAGTCTCCGTTCTGTGGGTTGCAACCGGAAAAGCTTTTCGTGAACGATGTTGAATCTTCAATCCAGTGGCAAAATACTTTCAACATTTCAGAACAACTTGAAAGTGGTTTGGGGTTGGCCAGGATTGACGACTCTCAGGAAGTTGTCTGTGCAATTGTCAATCTTAATCTTCAATCCAGTGGTAAAGGACCCTGAAGAACTTGAATGTTGTTTGGGTTGGCCGAATTGACGACGCACAGGAAGGCTGTCTGTGTAATCTTCAATATTGAATGTCAAATCCAGTGGTAAAATACTTTCAAGTGCTTCGCGATCCAGTGGAAAAACGTTCAATTTCTTAGACAAAATTTCAAGCGCTCTTGGTGAGCTGTTTACCTCTTGTAAGCTATGTTCATGCTGACCCTTTTCAAGGAGGTGAGCAAAAAAGGTAGGTGTCATGTTTAAAACCCCTGTGATGTACACTGTTCTATGACGAGGCGCAGGATCATGAGGGGTACTGTATATGCATGTGTGCATTGTAATGAAACGAAATGACATGTAATGTAATGTAGTGTAGTGTAGTGTAATGTAGTGTATTGTAATGTAATGTAATGCAAGTATGCATGTATGCATGTATGCATGTATGCACGTATGCATGTATACATGTATGCATGCATGCATGCATGTATGCATGTATGCATGTCTGTATGTCTCTATGTCTGTATGTCTGTCTGTCTGTCTGTCTGTCTGCCTGCCTGCCTGCCTGCCTGCCTGGCTGCATGTATGTATGTATGTATGTCTGTCTGTCTGTCTGTCTGTCTGTCTGTCTGTCTGTCTGTCTGTCTGTATGTATGTATGTATATGTTCACACACCGTCACCCCCCACCCAACCCCGCTGAACTACCTGTCCACATCTGCTCATCTACGACCACCGCCTATTGAGATAGAATGAATTATGATTTCCTGTCCAATTAAGACTTTAATTAGCTAGAATCCCTGTTTCGAGATAGTTTTAGAAATTGAACCTCGACTCTAATCCCTTGACATGTCCATTTCCGAACACCGTCTAACAAGTTTAATTTCGAACCTTTCTTGCGCTACAAAAGGGCCATAATGTAAATAACGCAAATCCTATGTTGAATTTCCTTGTAGAAGCCCCTTAAATCAGGCTGCAATCATTATCATCAAGAGCCGATTGAATTACGTGTGTGTATTAGATTATACTCAAGAAATGTTGGAAAAACATATATCCTTACTGAATTCTATTCAAATCTATTTGAAAAAAAACTTATTTGGAAAGAGTAACATATATTGGGACATTTGTGAGGAATGCGGGCTCCAAATCGTGAGGCTGTGGGGGCCCGAAATTGAAAATTTCGAGAATTGAGTTATCTATATTCTAGATTTATCATCCCCCAAAGGCACTAAAACCTGGGTCCTGCAGGGGGGGTAGCATATGTATATATATATACACACTACATTACATATATGTATGCATATATATATATATATACATATAGTATATGTTGTGTGCATGCGTTGTGCTACATAACTTCAGAACAAAACAATCCAAACACCAAAATCAAACCCGATCCCAACTGAGGAGCATCGGCTATACATCTGTGCTACATGCATGACATCATAAGCAACTTATTTTCAAAACGGGTGGTACATGCATACCATCTACAATGCCAGTATGTATGACATTAATAAAAAAAGAAGAAAACAAACATTATAAAAGACTTGAAGTCACATCCACTGCACACTGAGGAGCTTGTTCTCGCATTGTTTCATGCGTGTTCTCGAACTTTCGAATTCCAACCACCCCAAATCAAGCTAACTCCCATCCGAACCAAGTCAACTCCCATCCAAACCAAGCCAACTCCCGTTCAAACCAAGCCAAACCCCATCCAAACCAAGTGAAATCCCATCCGAACCAAGTGATTTCCCATCAAGCCAAGTCAACTCCCATCCAAACCAAGCCAACTCCCGTCCAAACCAAGCCCAATCCCATCCAAACCAAGTCAAATCCCATCCAAACCAAGTGAAATCCCATCTAAACGAAGTCAAATCCCATCCAAACCAAGTGAATCCAATCCAAACCACGTCAAATCCCATCCAAACCAAGTGAGTCATAATCAAAACCCGGTATGAAAATGGTCAACCCAGAACCATGTAAAGAATTAAGAAGGCGGATATTCGCAGCTATGTATGGTTGGATTATTCCTTACTGCGAAAGGGTTTGAAACAGAGTTTCGGGATGGATAAAACAGGCCCTAACCCACCAACAAGAAGAGACCACCTTATCCCCCCGGTCCCAAGGGCAAAGCGGTTGCCCTCGGCCGGCGCAAACACGAACCAAAAGGGTTGCCAGTTTAACAAACAGAAGAAAGAACCCAGCAAGGGCAAGCAGCGCAACAAGCGCACGAGCAACAGCACCAAACCAAGCAAGCAAGCAAAGCGAAGCGCAGCGAGCGAGCAAAGCAAACCAGATGCAACAAACCAACCAAACGAATGACCCACCTCCACCAGGAGGCCAACCGCGGCGCTGCCGGCCCGCACCTTTTCCGTGTGCGAGATGGTGTCCGCGCCGTTGGCGCTGGCGACGAAATGGCAAACGTCAGTTGCCGCTTGCAAAAGCTTGAGCCAAACGGCGCATTGGCCGTGGCATGGAAACATGCTATGATAAAACTACATGCCCCCAAAAACACCCCCCTCGACTGTACAAAGAGATGGAGTGAATTTGGAAAGGCGCATTGGCCATGTTGAAGTTGAAATGCAATAAACAAGAACAACAAAGCCGATTAGGCTACCAGGGTTCGCGACCCCATACCCGGGCACTCATTGGTGCCCGGATCCCGCCACCACCCCGAATTACGGGTATGGGGCGGATTCGCGCCGGTAGCCAAATCAAACAAGAGAAAGCAAAAAGAAACAGAAACAAAGATTCAACTCCAGAATGGCAGGCATGAAATAAAATTATGTTTGCAATGCAACCACATCGAACCGTAAGGTTCGAGTGGATTTATATCCTGAATTCATGATTTAGGCGCATTGGCCTACTGGTTGAAACATGGTGCTTTGACCACAAGACCTTGGTCTTCAAAATAGCACCGTCTAGGCGCGCGATCACACAAAGACCTTCAGTGGGAACACCACCAGCTGCAATCAGCGGTTCAGGTCCGAGTAGGACTTCACCGGCAGCGGTGCAGCGCATCCGTGGTCCTCACCGCAGCACCTTGATGAGTTCCATCTCCAGCAGCAGCAGCGGTGCTGGACGATGCTGACAACCAGCGGCCGTAGACACCGGCGAGGGTAACTGCCTTGCTGCGGCGACGCACACCTGACAGGTAATCGCTGCCAGCGCGAATAGCGCACAGCTGCGCATGCAGTTGAATTCTGGAATGGCGAATAGCCCAAACATAGAAATACTACAGGGAGCATTGTCCATTATGTGAATTTCGGAATGAAAGCACGCGCGCGTTGGCGCCGCTACGCAAAAGATGCAGACGGACACCAGGTATTACCGATGTCGTCCGCCGCCGTGCCGTCCCCTCCCCTTGTTGAGGTTCCAGTCCCCAGGAGGAGGAGGCACGGTCTCGGCCAACTCATCATCCGCACCCCAGGTAGGGGTATGCGGCGAGTTCGGATTCTCGAACTCGCGTGGATCACCCTGCATGTGCGGCTGCCAACCCTGCTGCATTGTGCCAGGCCACATTTGCGGCATCATGCCAGCCATTGGCTGTTGCATGCACCCTCCCATTGGGAAAGCGGGGTACATCGGGCTTGGGAACGGGAAAGGGGCTGCCTGAGCACCCTTGTATCCCGACCCGCGAGCATCAGGCTGATACCCGCCAGTGGGAGTTCTCGATCTGGCGGATCCGCCACGACCGAACTGCCCTTGTTGGTAGCCGTATTGGCCACCCTTGCCTTTGTACTGATCACCTTTGTGACCCTTTCCTGGGAACTGGTCACCCTTGTGACCTCCGCCCTTGGGCCAGGATTGTGCAGGGGCTTTGCCCTTTTGTTGATCACCCTTTGACCTGGATTCAGGTCGCGGGGTAGCAGACCGTTGGTCTCCCCTAGGAGTGGCTGCCCGCCTGTGGTGCTTCCCAACCGGCGGGTCAGCAAAGACAATGGCGCATTGGCCGTCGCGCCGCGAAGCGGGGACCATGTCAACCTTATTGTCTTCGACATAAATGTATGCCTCAGCATACTCAATTGGGGCCGTGATGGATCCACCACTTGCCCGCAAAGAGTCGATATTCCAATCAAGAACAGTGGAAGCGTCGAAACTCGGATCTTCAGTATTGAAGTCCGTGAGGCGTCGCTCAGCCTGTACCAACGACATTATGATGTCCGCGCGTGAGGCGCCTAGGCCATACAGCGGAACCAAATACCCGTCCTCGATCCCGATGCGGTAGGCATCAAAGATATGCACAGAGAGGTAAAGGGCAAATGCTGAATTTAGACTGCCCTTTCTCGTCATATGACGACCCCATTGCGCCGCCTGTTGCGGGTGCTCGATCAAATATGCCAAGACAGACATATTGTCGGGAATCGAGACGCCAGTGTTGCTCTCCTCGATGAGCAGCTGTTTCGCTACCCACCGCTCGAGAGCCTCATCACTCGC